ACAAAATATAAATGCTATTTTCATCTCTTATACCAAGCACATTTTCTATTTCTTGCCTGAGTCAAGGATGGTTTAGTTTCTGGTCCAGTATTCAAGTCACATCATGCCTAACGTGCTGAATTCTGTTTTCAGGATTGTTAGATCCTTTATTTCTTGCTAACTCCCCAAAATGAATGCTGTTTTTCTCTGGTTTCTCAACAGATTGGCTTGGATACTTCTTATTGGACTTTTGTGAATGCTTTTTCAATTTTTGGAAGCATTGCACTTTATTTTGGCATCATGTTTGACTTTCATAGTGCTGGAATACATGTTCTCTTTCCATCTATATTTCAATTTACAGGTTGGTATTTTCAAAATTCCAAAAATAAATGTACAGACAAATGTCAGTAGTTTAGATTTTGACATAACTTCTGGTAAGTAATAAAATATACAAGGTGGAATGGCCAGGCGCAGTGGCTCACACCTATAATCCCAGCACTTTGGGAGGCCGAGTCAGGTGGATTGCTTGAGCCCAGCAGTTCAAGACCAGCCTGGACAACATGGCAAAACCCTATCTCTACAAAAAATACAAAAAAAATTAGCCATGCATGGTGGCACATGCCTGTAGTTCTAGCTACTGGAGAGGCTGAAATGGGAGGATTGCTTGACCTGGACGTTGCAGCTACAGTGAGTGGTGATCGCACTGCTGTACTCCAGCCCAGCTGACAGAGCGGGACCCTGTCTCAAAAAGAAAAAAACAAAGCAAAACAAAACAAATATATACAAAGTATTAAGTATTGCTAGTGAAAAATTAATGTTCTGTCTGGAAATTAAGTGGTGATGGTGGGTTGAAACATGATGGGAGGAAAACAAAATAGCTTTACAATAGCGCTGTACATGGTTGAATTAGATAACTTAAGACTTAAAAGGCTAAATAAAAGCCTATTCTTTCTTTCTCATAAAACCTAATATTGGGGCGAGATGTGGTGGCTCATGCCTATAATCCCAGCACTTTGGGAGGCCAACACAGCAGGATCTCTTGAATCCAGGAGTTCAAGACAAGCCTAAGCAACATAGGGAGAACTCGTCTCTACCCCCCCCCAAAAAAAAAAATTGAAAAAAAATTAATGGGCATGGTGGTACACACTACACACTGGTGATTCCAGCTCCTCAGGAGGCTGAGGTGGGAAAGATTGCTTGAGCCTGGGAGATCGAGGCTACAGTGAGCCATGATTATGCCACCCCAGCCTGGGTGACAGAGTGAGACCCTTTCTTTAAAAAAAAAAATCCCCAAAACCTAGTATTGGTAGGTTTTTGGAAAAGTGAGTATACAAGTATTGCTGGTAACACTGAAATATATTTTAAGTTTTCCAAACATCTGAAAATGCATAAGGGATTATAAAACTTTTTACACATTTTGGCCAGGTATTTCTACTTGGGGAAAGTATCCTAAGATAATAAAACACACGAAGTTTTGGCAAAGCTAATTTGTACAGATGGCTCCACCATAACATTTCTAATTGTAAGCAAGAGGAAAAAATGGAAATAACCCAAGACCTAAGAATATTATTAAATTAGCTAATCATACCATGAAATACCAGTATGATGAAATTCTAGAATTCAAAAGTGGTCAACATTATTAGAAATATGTGCGCAGGCCAGGCACAGTGGCTCACCCCTATAGTCCCAGCAGTTTGGGAGGCTGAGACAGGAAGATCACTTGAGGCTAGGTGTTCAAGACCAGCCTGGCAACATAGCGAGACCCTGTCTCTTAAAAAAAATAATAATAAAGCAATAAAAAAGAGACAAATAAGAAATATGTGTGCAGAGCAATAAGTAAATTGATAGAAAACAAAATAGTTCCGTGACCAATGATTATAATTGCATAAAATATACAACAAAATGACAAATGCTAGAATGAATTTGAAGTGATAAAAATATCATAAATATTATAAATATAAAATATTAATAAAAATTAATTATGAACTGGAATTCATGAGCTTCTTATTTTGAATAGAGAGCTTGGACTCACAATGAAAAACAATCCCCATAAACTAGTTTCCCTGGCCGGGCACGGTGGCTCATGCCTGTAAACCCAGCACTTTGGGAGGCTAAGGTGGGCAGATCACGAAGTCAGGAGATCGAGACCATCCTGGCTAATATGGTGAAACCCCATCTCTACTAATAAATAGAAAAAATTAGCCAGTTGTGTTGGCGGGCACCTATAGTCCCAGCTACTCGAGAGGCTGAGGCAGGAGAATGGTGTGAACCCAGGAGGCGGAGCTTGCAGTGAGCCGAGACCGTGCCACTGCACTCCAGCCTGGGCGACAGAGTGAGACTCAGTCTCAAAAAAAAAAAAACTAGTTTCCCTGTAAAAGATTTAGATTTTTATGACCAGTTGTTGGGTTGTAAAAGTCCGTTGCTGTGGTAACCCTTTCCTTCTTGGGATTCAGCTCAGCTTTTTGTGATTTCCTTTACTAACTCTGTGTTTTAAAATACTAGTAACCCAGTTACTTAGCATATTCCCATAGGGAGTTTTTTAATCCCATACACACTTAGCAGGGTAAAAACCACATTTAAAATAAATAAAGACCATTGTTTTTACAAACTGAGAGTGTAAGTACAGAAAACATGATGAGAAACATGGCTCTAAAAGATGGTCATTTGATTTTGAAAATTGGGTCATGTCTGTGATTATGTGATTGTATTATTGAATTGAATTATTACTTCATCTGACATAAAAATTCAGAAAACCAATTGCAGTGGAAAAGCACGGCTCCAGTCAGGCAGAAGGAGGTTTTAATTCAGGCATTGCCATGGTTGGTTTTGTTAGCTTGGGCAAACTTTTTAACTTCTCCGTAACACAATTTACTTATGTGACACAGGGATAATACCCATCTCTCAGAACTGATTCAATGACATGATCTGTATAAAACACCAGGTACTGGCAGTACTAGCATTTTTTTTTTTTTTTTTTTTTTGAGATGGAGTCTCGCTTTGTCACCCAGGCTGGAGTACAGTGGCACAATCTTGGCTCACTACAACCTCCACCTCCCGGTTTCAAGCCTCCAGAGTAGATGGGACTACAGGCACCTGCCTTCATCCCGGCTAATTTTTGTATTTTTGTAGAGACAGGGTTTCACCATGTTGACCAGGCTGGTCTTGAACTCCTGACCTCAGGTGATCTGCCCACCTCGGCCTCCCAAAGTGCTGGGATTACAGGCATGAGCTACCACGCCCAGCCTGGTAGTGCTATAGCTTTTATTATTTGGAGTTTCAAACCAGAACTAAAATTGAAAAGCGCTTTTTTTTTTTTTTTTTTTGAGATGGAGCCCAGGCTGGAGTGCAGTGGCACGATCTTGGCTCACTGCAATCTCCACCTCCCAGGTTCAAGTGATTCTCATGCCTCAGCCTCCCAAATAGCTGGGATTACAGGCATGCATCACCACGCCCGGCTAATTTTGTATTTTTAGTAGAGACAGGGTTTCACCATGTTAGCCAGGCTGGTCTCGAACTTCCCACCTCAGGTGATCCACCCACCTCGGCCTCCCAAAGTACTGGGATTACAGGTGTGAGCCACCACGCCCGGCTGAAAAGTGCTTTTTTAAATCCTTAAATTCAGAAGGCCAGGTGCCGTGGCTTGTGCCTGTAATCTCAGCACTTTGGGAGGCCAATGTGGGCGAATCACTTGAGGTCAGGAGTTTGAGACCAGCCTGGGCAACATGGTGAAACCCCATCTCCACAAAAAATACAACACTTAGCCAAGTGTGGTGGTGCACACCTATAGTCCCAGCTATTTAGGACACTGAGGTAGGAGGCCACTTGAGCCCAGCAAGTTGAGGCTGCAGTGAGCCGTGATAACACCACTGTACTCCAGCCTGGGTAACAGAGTGAGACCCTATCTCAGAAAAAAAGTCAGAAGTCTTGATCACCTAACTTTGCATTTTTAATCAATGCAATGTCAACAAATGTGCTTTTTTTCCTTATTTGCTCACTTATGGACATTTGCCTTGTTTCAAATAATTTACCTTCCCAATTTTGCTTTGCTTAGTCTGATTTTAAAATGTCTTTTCTTTGAGTCATAATGGATATTTTGGGGAGTCCAATCTGGTGGTAAAACTTTACCATAAATGATCTATTTATAGATTATGAAATATTAACTATTTTTTCTTTTTTTTGAGACAGAGTTTTGCTTTTGCTTTGTCACCCAGGCTGGAGTGCAGTGGCATGATCTCGGCTCACTGCAACCTCCGCCTTCCAGGTTGAAGCAATTCTCCTGCCTCCTGAGTAGCTGTGACTACAGGTGAATGCCACCATACCCAGCTGATTTTTTGTATTTTAGTAGAGACGGGTTTTCACCATGTTGCCCAGGCTGGTCTCGAACTCCTGAGCTCTGGCAATCCACCCACCTTGGCCTCCCAAAGTGCTAGGATTACAGGCATGAGCCACCGCATCTCGTGAAATATTAACTATGTTCTTAGGAAAAAGGGACCACAGTGATTCATTTGCCATGTTCTTTACAGGCACAGCTTCAAACGCTCTGAGACAGCCATACATTTGGTTAACTATAATCCTGACCGTTGCCGTGTGCTTACTGCCCGTCGTTGCCATCCGATTCCTGTCAATGACCATTTGGCCATCAGAAAGTGATAAGGTATATCGAATACAGTCCTCTCCCAAATCTGTCCCTCACAGAAACCAAAGCGTTTCCCAACAGCACCTTTCCTGCAAAATTCTAAGCTCATGGGAAGTTTTGTAAGAATGATTTTCCATGATTGTTTCTCTTTCTTTAACTCTATCTCACAAATAAGTCTTTTGGAATTGGGAATTTAGTGTACTTTCTTTTTAATACAAAGATTACCAAACATAAACAAAAAAGGGAGAATAGAATAATGAGCCCCGTATATCTATCCCCTCAGTTTAACAATTACTGTGTTAACATTTTGTCATACAAATCAGATTGGGTTTTTTTCTTTATTTAAAGAAAAATGTACCTTCTGTAGCAGGACCCTTTGAGCTACAAGGAACCGAAATCTGTGACTCAAAATATCTCTACAGTAGTGCGTCATCATTAATCATTAGCAGACTTCAGGCCCAGCGGATTGAGCAACTTAATGTCAAAAAAGGATTGGGCAGGTTCTTGCCATCTCTCCTCCCAGACACCTTCATTATTAGCTTCATATGGATGCTGGAAGATGGCCAGAGCAGTTCTGGGCATCACATCCTGACATATCAGTGTCGGGGAGAGATAAGATACTATTCTGTAGCTCCTTAGGGGCCATGGAACTTCTCACCCAAGGGCCCCAGTACGGTGCCTTCAGGTCTTATGTGCCAAAATTAGGTCACTTGCCCATTCTGGACTAGTTTAGCAAGGGAAATCAACCTGCCCACCGCCCATGAGAAATGTGGCTGTGGGGGGTTGGGGGGGTGATCTGAATACAATCGATTTCCACTAGAAAGAAGGAGAGAGCAGAGGCTAGTGAGGCAACCTTCAGTATCCCTCCGGTCTCCCTTTTGAAGTTACAATAGTACACAGTAACAACCCGGAAAGGCCCTACTGAGTCTTCTCTTTGGCTGTACCCATCTGGTCTGAACTAGAAAAGGGCACTAGCTTCTGGGGAGTGGGAATCTTGGCTTTGCATTTCCTAGCTGTGTGACCTTGGAAAAGTTAGATAACCTTCCCTCAGCTTCTATATATATCTCCAGGTAGGTAGGTAGGTAGAACGATCGATCAATCTATGTATAACTATAGAGAGATGGATATAGATCTATATCATCATATCTATATGTCAATATATCTCTCCATAGATAAACAGATATAGCCAAGCATTGTGACTCACACCTGTAATCCCAGTACTTTGGGAGGCCGAGGCAGGTAGATCACTTGAGGTCAGGAGTTCAGGAGGACAGGACCAGCCTGGCCAACATGGTGAAAATACATACTAAATATACAACATAATAAAAATACAAAAATTAGGTGTGGCAGCGCGTGTAACCCCAGCTACTCAGAAGGCTGAGGCAGGAGGATCGCTTGAACCTGGGAGGCAGAGGTTGCGGTGAGCCAAGATCGCACCATTGCACTGCAGCCTGGGTGACAGAGCGAGACTCCATCTCAAAAAAAAAAAAAAGATATAGACACACACATACACACACACACTATAAAGTGGGGACAGAGCTGCCTGCATCAAAATGGGGCAGGCGTCTGGCCAGGCCTCCTCCCTGGAGTGGACCTTATCTTCATCCCTCCCCATCTCTCCCTCTTGCAGATCCAGAAGCATCGCAAGCGGTTGAAGGCGGAGGAGCAGTGGCAGCGGCGGCAGCAGGTGTTCCGCCGGGGCGTGTCATCGCGGCGCTCGGCCTACGCCTTCTCGCACCAGCGGGGCTACGCGGACCTCATCTCCTCCGGGCGCAGCATCCGCAAGAAGCGCTCACCGCTTGATGCCATCGTGGCCGATGGCACCGCGGAGTACAGGCGCACCGGGGACAGCTGATCCCTCACCCCCAGGCCGGGACGCGGCCACAGAGCACGTCTATTTTTTTATGAAAGATTCTCAGGACTTCGTGTGTGTGTGTGTGTGTGAATTGCATTCGTCACAAAGATATTGAAGACAATAAATAACCTTTATAACAAACTCCTTGGGTTGAACTATTAAACAATAGCAGAGCCAAGAAATAGGACTTTTAAAAGTTCTATTATTCGGCTGGGCGTGGTGGCTCATGTCTGTAATCCCAGCACTTTGGGAGGCTGAGGAGGGGAGATTACCTGAGGCGTGGAGTTCGAGACCAGTCCAGCCAACATGGTGAAACCCTGTCTCTACTATAAATTAAAAATGAGCCGGGCTTGGTGGTGGGCACCTGTAATCCCACCTGTTTGAGAGGCTGAAGCAGGAGAATCGCTTGAACCTGGGAGATGGAGGTTACAGTGAGCCAAGACTGTGCCACTGCACTCTAGCCTGGGTAACAGAGCAAGACTATGCCTTAAGAAAAATTTAAAAATAGGCCGGGCACGGTGGCTCATGCCTGTCATCCTAGCACTTTGGGAGGCCAAGGCGGGTGGATCACTTGAGGTCAGGAGTTTCAGACCAGCCTGGCCAACACAGTGAAACCCCGTCTCTACTAAAAATATAAAAATTAGCTGGAAATTGCTTGAACCTGGGAGGTGGAGGTTCCAGTGAGCCGAGATCGTGGCACTGCACTCCAGCCTGGGCAACAGAGTGAGACTCCATCTCCAAAAAAATGTTTTTAAATAATAATAAAAGTCCTATTATTCAACTGGTTATGTACACTATGGTTGAAAGGGAACATTCTAATCCGGTCTCAATCCAGGGCAATAGAATTACAAAGCATGTTGTATTTCAGTTCAAATGGTATTGTATTATAAAATTAGTTACATTTTCCTTTGTGATCTTCAGCATAATTTCCCAGAGGCTCCTTTTTACCCTCCATAGGCCACCTTAACATATTTTTAAATTTATAGTAGTAATGACAAATGACATCAGTGTTCATCATCTGAAAGCTAAGTGGTTCAATCACTTTTTCAAAGTTGATAGTAGATTGCATGGTTTCATGTTCTCCTCACATTGGTTTAATAATTCTATTTAATCAAGGAAAATAACTTCAGATTCCATAAAGTTTCAGTTTATTTTTGGTTTACTACTGGGTGAGACAGCACATTACACACTTTTACTATCAAATATTATTTTAGCAGCTTCCCATAGTACCAAATGATTTAATTCCCTACTCTCATTTTTTAAAGCATCTAAATATTTCTGGGCTTAAAAAAAGGGTTTTTAAAAACTGAGGATATCAGTAATAAATTGCAGAATATTTTGTAAAGCTTTCTTTTGGAAAGCAAACTTTTGTGCCTGCCTATATATAAAGTATTTTATAAGGGACTTGAACAGAGACCTCACTCTTTTTCACTTGTCTTATGTCTTGAGAGAAAAGGCTATTGGCAGCCACATTCCTAAGACTGGGGAATGGTGTGTCCTTTTAAATTTGAAGATAACTGTAGGTAATTATGGAAACTTCTCAAAGAGGTAAAAGTAATTTTTTTCCAGACATTTTTCTCATTCTGTGTCTTTCACACACTAGTTTCCATAGTTCAAAAATTCTGTTTTTTACCATCGGGCTGTGAATGTTCACAATATCAGTCCCGTTGAATTCCTATGAGGTAATCACAATGTGTATATAGTTCATTTTCTAGGTTTGATAAAAGAATGTATGGCTTTTTATTCTGTGGAAGTAAAATGCTGAACGTTTACAACTTTTCCTTGTAAATAAAAAATTGTAAGTTTTTTTTTTTTTTACAGAAAAGTTAGCTTGTGTAATTCTGTTAGTTTCAGATTTCTCTCCTGTTTTCACAAATTGTGGGAAAGATTGACAATGCAAATGTGTCAAAGACATACTGTTGGGTGCAATACTAACAATTTTAAAATGCAAATTTCTTTGGATAAATTATTTCTATATTCTGTAAATCTGAGATTTAATGTATATTTTGTTAAAAAAATGATTTAGTAAAATCTTTGAAAAGTATAATCTTCTAAAGTATTTAAATTGGCTTTTGTTGTTGTTGTTATTTTTAAGAATAGGGTATGTGACAGAAGAATCTAGTCCCACAAGGTTTCTAGAGGAATGCAGGGGTCCTTTAGTGGTGAGAAAGTCAGGGACAGGGAAACTAAGTGTTAGGGAAGAAGTGATGGAGAAAAGGTGATCAGCACCAGGCACTGTGGCTCACGCCTGTAATCTCAGTACTTTGGAAGGCTGAGGCAGGAGAATCACTTGAGGCCAGGAGTTTGAGACCAGCCTGGGCAACATAGCAAGACTCCGTCTTTAAAAAAAAAAACAAAAACAAAAACAAACTGGGTGTAGTGGCATATGCCTGTAGTCCCTGTTGCTTGGGCGGCTGAGGTGGGAGGATAACTTGAGCCCAGGAGTTTGAGGCTGCAGTGAGCTTTGCTCATGCCACTGTACTGAAGCCTGGGTGACAGAGCAAGACTCTGTCTCTAAAAGAATTAAAAAGTTGGTCAGACTTTAGAGACAGAGGGGTAAAGATTTAGAGTTAGGGAGGTCAGCCGGGCATGGTGGCTCATGCCTGTAATCCCAGCACTTTAGGAGGCTGAAGTGGGTGGGTCACTTGAGGCCAGGAGTTCGAGACCAGTCTGGCCAACATGGCAAAACTCTGGCTCTACTAAAAATACAAAAACTTAGCCGGGTGAGGTGGCGCACATCTGTAGTCCCAGCTACTCTGGTGGCTGAGGCAGGAGAATTGCTGGAACCCAGAAAGCGGAGGTTGCAGTGAGCCATGATTGTGCCACTGTTCTCCAGCCTGGGCAATGGAGTGAGACGCTCTCAAAAAAAAAAAAAAAAAAAAAAAGGAAGATTAACTCTGGGTTTTTCCAACTGACTTCAACTCTTTAGCCAGAATGAAAGGAAAGGTAACCCTCAACCAAAAGTAAGGGCTGGGGCTGGGCATGGTGGCTCACGCATGTAATCCCAGCACTTTGGAAGGCCAAGGTGGATAGGTCACCTGAGGTTAGGAATTCGAGACCAGCACGGCCAACATGGCGAAACCCCATCTCTTCTAAGAATAAAAAAATCAGCCAGGCATGGTGGTGCATGCCTGTAATCCCAGCTACTTGGGAAGCTGAGGCAGAAGAATCGCTTGAACCTGGGAGATGAAGGTTGCAGTGGGCTGAGATTGTGACACTGCACTCTAGCCTGGGTGACAAAGCGAGACTCTATCTCAAAAAACAAAACAAAAAAAGTAAGGGCTGGGAAGTGAGCAGAGAGTCCTAGAAATACACGATGAATCGTTGGCAGAAAAATGAGCAAAGAGGAGTGAGTGAGGAAGTGGATGGGAGACCTGGGGTTTGAGGCTGCGGGAGTCTGACCAGGCTGTGGGACAGACAGCTCTTGGATGCAAGGGAAGCCATGACCCCACTGAGAAGGTTCTCTCTGCGTCAGAGATGGGAGACTCTTTGGGAGGCATAATTAGCAGCAGGTGATAGAAAAATATCAGTCTTGGGGTGCTTGGGGTTGGAGGAGATGGGCAAATTACTAGCCTCTGCAATATAAATGGCAGGAAAATCGAGTAAACCTGGGAGATCATCCCTAAAAAAATAAAAGTCACTTTTTCCTGCAATATACTTCTGTATTTAAGTTGTTTGAGGGATAAATGTTTTCAATCAAAGAGCACCACCTAAAGGTTCTTACTCATGTTCAGCACCAGAAACTGCTCAGTAACAACATCTGATGGGAATAAAATGATTCTTGAGAGACTTCAATGTGATAGCAAAATGTACCCTAATGGAATCGAAATATATTTTAACAATTGCTGCCTTCATGTGATGTGAATGAAACTTAGGAAAACCGTCAGCTCCTAAGAGTCCTGCTAGAAAGTTAGGGCTGCACTATAACTTCTGGGGCATTTATAAAAATGAAAAGGCCTGTCAAAACACTGAAAACAATACAACGTAGATCTCAGGACAAAGTGGAGGTTGGGGCCCTCAAAAACAACCACTGTAATGCAATCATTTTCTTTCTGCTAAAAAATACAGTAAAGGCCGGGCGCGGTGGTTCACGCCTGTAATCCCAGCACTTTGGGAGGCCCGGGCGGGTGGATCACCTGAGGCCAGGAGTTCGAGACCAGCCTGACCAACATGGAGAAACCCATCTCTACTAAAAATAAAAATTAGCAGGGCATGGTGGTGCACGCCTGTAATCCCAGCTACTTGGGAGGCTGAGGCACGAGAATCGCTTGAACCCAGGAGGCGGAGTTTGAAGTGAGCCGAGATCACGCCATTGTACTCCAGGCTGGGCAACAAGAGTGACACTCCGTCTCAGAGAAAAAAACAAACAAAAAGAAACAGCAAAAATGATTTTCTTGATTAGATATTTCTCCAAAGAAGAGATATAGCCGGGCACAGTGGGTAGCTCACGCCTGTAATCCCAACACTTTGGGAGGCCAAGGCAGATCACCTGAGGTCCAGGGTTTGAGACCAGCCTGACCAATATGATGTAACACTGTCTCTACTAAAAATACAAAAATTAGCTGGGAATGGTGGTGTGTGCCTGTAATCCCAGCTACTTGGGAGGCTGAGACAGGAGAATTGCTTGAACCTGGAAGGTGGAGGCTGCAGTGAGCCGAGATCAAGCCACTGCACTCCAGCCTAGAAAACAAGAGAGAAACTCCACCTCAAAAAAAAAAAAAAAAAAAAAAAGATATAAATGGTCAATAAGCATATGAAAATATGCTCAACAGCATTAGTCATCAGGGAAAGTCATCAAAATTGAGGCTGGGTGCGGTGGCTTATGCCTGTAATCCCAGCACTATGGGAGGCTGAGGTAGGCGGATCACCTGAGGCCAGGAGTTGGAGACCAGCCTGGCCAACATAGTGAAATCCCATCTCTACTAAAAATACAAAAATGAGCCAGGGGTGGTGGCATGTACCTGTAATCCCAGCTACCTGGGAGGCTGAGGCAGGAGAATCGTTTGAACCCAGGAGGCAGAGGTTGTGGTGAGCCGAGATTGCATCACCGCACTCCAGCCTGGGTGACAAAGTAAGACTCTGTGTCAAAGAAAAAAAAAAAAAAAGAAAAAAAAACCACATCATACTAGAAAGGGTTGATTCTCCCTACAATAATTTAAAAATGGCATATATTCCTCATAAAAATGCCAACAGTTTCCTGTAATAGACAGGCTGATTCAAAAGTTCATATGGAAAAATTAATGTCAGAAAACTGTAAGCAATGAGGTGAGACTACTCCTACCAGATATTACACCATATCATAATTTGAAAAACAGTTTCAGTGGTATGGTTCTGATGCATGGTGACACAGACATTCCACGGAACAGAATAGAAAATCCAGAAATAGACACAAACACGTGAACATTTACTATATAAAGTGGCATCAAAGGTGGGTGGGGAAAGATGGACTTTTAAATAGATGGTGTTGAGACAAGAGGGAAACAAATTAGATATCATGCACTGTAGTAGAATAGACTCCAAATAATAAAGAGATTTAAATGTAAAACAAAAACAAACTCATAAAAGTACTTGAAGAAAATCACGAGGAAATTCAAATACTGGAGTGGGGAAAGACTTTCTAATTAAGACTAAAAATCTAAAGCCTCAAAGGAAAGGCTAATAATTTCAAATACGTCAATATTTTTAAAACCCCCATTATGGCAAAAAAAAAGAAAAAGAAAAAAAGGTATAAGCAAAGACAAATGGCAAAATGGAGAAAAAGTGTGCAAGTCTTAGTTCAGGCTGCTGTGACAAAATACCACAAACTGCATGGTTTATGTAAGCAACAGAAATTTTTTCTCACAGTTCTGGCAGAAGCTAGAAGTCTTAGGTCAAGGGATTGACAGATTTGGTGCCTGCTGAGGAAATGCTTTCTGGTTCGCAAATAGCGCCTTCTGACTCTGTCTTTACATGGTGGAAGGGGCCAACAAGCTCCTTCAGGACTATTTTATAAAGACATAATCCCTCCTGATTTAATCACCCCTGAACGTCTCCACCTCCTAGTATCACCTTGGAGGTTAGCATTTCAGCATATGAATTTTAAGAAGGCACAAACCTTCAGACCATAGCAGTCAAGGTTGTGGGAAAAAAAAAAAAAAAAGTCAGAGAAAAAGAAATACAAATGGGGCGGGGTACGGTGGCTCATCCCTGTAATCCCAGCACTTTGGGAGGTCGAGGTGGGCGTATTACTTGAGGCCAGGAGTTCGAGACCAGCCAGGCTAACATGGTGAAAACCCGTCTCCATTAAAAATACAAAAATTAACTGGGTGTGCAACTGTAGTCCCAGCTACTAGGGAGGCTGAGGCAGGAGAATAACTTGAACCTGGGAGGTGGAGGTTGCAGTGAATTGAGATTGCACCACTGCACTCCAGCTTGGGCAATAGAGCCAGACTCTGTCTCAAAAAAAAAGAAATACAAATGGCTCTTAAACACATGAAACGATGTTTAAACTTATCCAAAATAAAGCAGTGCAAATCAAAATGATTTTGACAAGCCATCTTCACCTATTCATTTGGCAAAAACAAGAAAGTTTGGTAATGCACTGTTAAGGCTGTGGCAAAACAAGCCTTCTAATTTATTACTGAAAAGTATATAAATTGAAACTCTAGGAAAGGCAATTTAGCCATAACCATTAACTTTTTTTTTTTTTTTTTTTTGAGACAGAGTTTAGCTCTGTCACCTAGGCTGGAGTGCAGTGGGTGCAATCTCAGCTCACTGCAACCTCCGCCTCCCAGGTTCAAGCTATTCTCCTGCCTCAGCCTCCCGAGTAGCTGGGACTACAGGCACGTGCCACCACTCCCAGCTAATTTTTTGTATTTTTTTTTTAGTAGAGATGGGGTTTCACCATGTTAGCCAGGATGGTCTCGATCTCCTGACCTTGTGATCCGCCCGCCTCAGATTGCCAAAGTGTTGGGATTACAGGTGTGAGCCACCACACTCAGTCCTTGCCATTAAAATTTTAAGTGTATATTCCCTTTGACTTGGCAATCACACTTCTCAAATTCATCTTGCAGATATATT